AAAAAAAAAAAAAAAAAAAAAAAAAAAAAAAAAAAAAAAAAAAAAAAAAACCAGTAGAAAACCTATCACACAAGTTAGATGCGCAGGATGCCTTCTAATGGACCAAACAGTCAAGTCCTGTAACACTGCCAAACAAAAAATGTGCCACCAGCTTCATTTAGAGGTAAATTCAGGTTTACTTTATTGAAAACAAGAACAACAAAAAAAAAAGTTTAAATTAAAACCTGCAAGTTGTACTGAAAACACCATACCAAAATGCCACCTGGGGTATTACGCAGGTTTCCTCCACAGTGCCATCCCAATTTTTGCTCCTCAGTTCCTGGCTGGAGCTGTTAGTTGTTATTGCAGCTCTAGAAATGCCAAAACACTCTCAAGAATCAGCAGTAATGACATCATGATTCTGTGATTCCCAACTGCAGGAGGACAGGGAGATTCCTGCAGTGCCCCCCGTGCCCGCACATCGCAGCTCCCTGGGCAGGGACGTACCCACAAAGCTGCAGATGGATTTGTACCATCAGCACAGACTTGTACAGACCTTCGTTTGCTCAGCCACTGGTGAACTTAACATTTAAAACATATTTTATTATTTTTTTTGTATTTTTCACAACATTTTCCACGGCTTGATCGTTTTTTATTACAACATGGAGGTTTCACCAAACTGTTTTTAAAACATTTTAGACTGAGTTTCAATAAAAAAATCATCATGAGCTCGAACGGAAAATATTAATTACTGGACACTGTTCTCTTTTTTTTTTTAACATTAATTTATATAATTAACCATAAAACCTATATAGCCCTAATCACTGACAGAAACAAAACCATAAAGACTCCTCCTTCTCGTTCTTAAAACTCACAGGCACCTTAGAAAAGTAAAACCCACTCCCCTATAAAATGTGTTACATTAACCTATTTCCCAAGCAACAGGCAGAGAGCTTTAGTTAAAAAAAACTGACAAAGGATATGGTATACAAATGCACATATTCACTTAAACATACACAGAAAAGATAGATTTTAAATCCAAAATTGGGGTTACCTGACTCCCCTTCAAACTCCCTATGAAAAATTTGCTTTGACTTACCTGAAAGAAAACAATTTAGAAAATTAGATTTCTAGACTGTGAAAACAAGAGCTACACAATTTCTGTCTGTCCCTCATACACCAAAATTACCAGGACTGCACTGAAGCAACAGACATCACAGCATTCATTCCTTTAATTCACAATGCACTGACAAAGAGCAGAACAGGCAGTTTGTGCATAAGCTTAATTTCTTTTTCTATTTGAAAAAGACTACAGCTTCAATACTTTTTATTTCTGAAAGACTAAGTGCGGAGTAAATAAGTTTGGCCAAGAATGCCAAGCAGGAATTTACTGCGTGTGAATATGCAACACGTTCCTGGCATCGACAAGAAAAGGCAAAGTTAATCCTACAGGCAAAACCTGAACTTAAAAACATTTTTACAGTATAACTCCACATCTCATGATAAACACCCATGAAAACAGCAGGCCAGGCAGCTACATGGAGATTTAAGTAGGTAAGTGCTATGACCAGACTTGCTAAATTTAAAAATGTATGTGAAATATTGTGGGCATTTACTGCTTTAAGAGCTCTGTCAATCCAAGAATTGACAAACACACGAGCAGTTTCCCATCCTTCCAATTAACAAGAAGTTATTCTCAAGGGAAAGAGCACAGTCTTGGTAGCACAAGGGATCATCCTGCAGCAAAACAACCATCATGTTTCTGTAAAATGCTGTCACTGGCAAACTGGTGTCCGACAGCACAACCGCTGTGTCGGCTCTCATTTCTATCACAGCATAAAAAACAGCTCCTGCACCAAGATGTTTACAAAATGATGCACTGAAAAATCATTTCTAGCTCTGATCTTTTCTACAAACAGGTACATTTAAAAGGATGTTTTCTTTAGGTTGTTTTTCCTTCTCCTGCTCCTGTAAACAGGCGGTCACCACGAACGTGATTTAATCACGCCGTTCCCGATGCCTCAGCAAACACGCAAAACAAAACATCTCCTGGGCTTCTAAGAGCCTATAAATGAAGGGTTAAACACACTCCTAAAACATAATAGCCAGTGCCTTTTCCTAACTCCCCTCTAACAGGAAGGCTGACAGATCCTGACCGCAGCAAACAATAGCTGGGATTGTACTAGCAAGAACTAGTTCAGCTGCATCACTTGCCAATAATTTTTTTAGCAGATTTAACATTCTTCTGTTTCCTTCACTTGAACAGTGTGATGGGGCAGGGGGGGAGGAGGAGGAGGAGAGCAGATAAATTTCCATCAGAGCCTCAGCCACTGAAAGAATTTGTCCTCGGTACCTGCCAAATGTGAAACTCCAGAGCAGGGTTAACCTTCTGGAGATGGCAGCAACGACCTTGGAATCTCAGAGCGATGCAAACTGGGCCACAGAGCTGCTTTGGAAAGAGGTTTTCTGGCTGCTTGGTACGTTGCTGGGCCTGGGAGCCCCCACACTCCCCACCCCAACAGCAGCACAGACACCAAAAGCCCAGGGCTCACGTTCACACCACTGGGTTCAAACAGAAACCAGCAGGTCTGCACAAAATAGGTTTTACACCTGCAATTTTACCAGTGGAACAGACACACACAACATGCACGTGTGTACATGCAGGCACTGACTATCCAGAGGCACGTTATCCACACGTGAGATATTTCTATTCCACTGGCATTCAAATCATTGCAGAACTAAAGGGTTCAGCCACCACTGGAGTGGCTACAAAAAACACCCCAAAAATCTCAGTTGCTCATTATACTCATTGTCAAAAGAAGGGGCCTTGCAGTGGCCAGTCCCCTGTGGTTATACATACATATATATATATATATATGTTATATTATAGCCAGTAAACATCAAGCAGAAGAGCAGCCTACCTTCTATGTCATCTGGAGCCGTGGCATAAATGTGAGAAAGGTTAAGCTTCAGTCTGTCAGGGCACTCTCTATTTACAGTCAGACTGGGTGATATCACTAGATCTAGCATTTCCTTATACCTGAAGGAAAACAAAGGAAAAATACAATTT